TAAGCAGAAAAATTTACTCAGTTCGGTGTGCTAAGCACAGCTGGATACCACATTATCGCCTGCCATAAAATTCCCTAGGTGTTTGAGAATCTTGATTTAAAACATAGTCAAAAGTGACAAATGCCCAATACCTAAACTCCCTTTTGAATTCTTGTTCCTGTTTGCCGGACATATTTACCTTGGCAGAAGAAAGGAAGTCAGGTATCACAATGAGCAAGGGGGTGGGGAAGCCAGCGAGAGCATACAGCCAATGACCGCTGACATTTAGCCAACTTTTTTCGTGCCTGAGTAACAGGAGTATCTCCTTGTATGAGAACTTGGGAAGAGGGTTGGTTAAGAAAGGGTGGGGTAACAGGGCTGCGTTCTGAGCAAGTTAGCTCCTCCGAAACACCCAGGGCTGTCAGCCTTAATCAAGGAGAAATAGCCTTCAGGAAACCACAGGGTCCACGATGCCAGTTTAGCATCCCCAGGTCCCAAAGTTTCCCTGGGCAGTGCCTCACACCTTTGACCTTTTTGCGCCCCTCCCCAAAGGAACGGAGTTCCAAAAGGAGCAACCTCCTCCCTCCCCACCCTCAGAGGCAAGAAGGACCGCAGCATGCAGCCTGCGGCGCAGAGTCAGGTGGGCGACCCACCGCGATCACCCGGGAGATGGAGTCCTTCCCGGGAAAACACTGCTTCCAGAACCTCTCCAGCACCTCCCTGGCTCCCCCTCGCAGCTCTGACTTTACACGGGCCAGCCAGAAAGGAGAAAGGGCCTAGGAGGAAGCGAAAGGCTCCTCCCCAGAGCCGGCGCCAGCTGGCCCAGGTGCGCCAGGTGTGGTGGCGCGGGGCCGGGGGCTGCGGACCCGGAGGAGACCCCTCCAAGCGGGGGCGTCGGGGCCGGGTGGGTCCCTTACGGTCTCCCGCAGCTTCCTCTCCTGGTCCAGCTCGCGCTGCAGGCTTCCCGCGCGCTCCTCCGCGGCGTCCGCCTGCTCCTGCAGGCTGCGGATCTTCCTGCGCACGGCCTCCAGCGAGCTGCTCCCCGCCATGGCGAGGCGGGCGGCGGCTCGGGGGGCAGCGGCGCGGGGGACGCCGGCTGCTCAGCTCGCCCAGGTCCCTCCTCGACTGCTGCGGCCCGGAAGTCACAGCCTGCGGGGCGGCGCCGAGCAGCCGGGGGCGGGCGCGGCGGGCAGGGCGGGGCGAGGAGGTGCGGACCGGGTGCTCGCCGCTTGCCCTAGGCTCTGCGCATGCTCGTGGCCGCGAGGCGAGGGAGCGCTCGGCGGCTGCACCCGGGATGCGGCTGGGGACCGTAGGCAGAGAGCCACCGTGCGGGGGGACTTCACCCCGGCGCCCTGGGTAACTGGGCCCGGCTGCAAGGGCGACGGCGACGCCTGCTGGCCGCGGGAGCACCGCCTTCGAAATCCCGATTCCCACGCGCCAGGCCGAGGGAAGGGACTGGAGCCTGAATTCAGGGACTTAAACGCTGGTTCCTCCATGTGAAGAACCCTGGTACACAAGATCCTACCCACAACACTCCCCTGCAATCTCACGAAGTGAAAACCACTAACATACACAGCATAGAGGTGAGACCTCCTGCCCTACATTCAGTCTTCTGAGGCTGGAATCTGGCTCCCAGCTCCCTACTTGGCTGTGGGACTTCGGGCAAATATCAACTTTTCTGCCCTTCGTTATAAAAATGAAGATTATAGTTCACAAGGCTGTTATGAGAATTATGAAATAATGACTACAAAGTACTTTTCACAGTGCCTTTATATAGTTAAGAAACGAAGACAGCTATAGTTAATGAACACCTAGGCATGGCTCTAAGAGTCAGGCTGGGCCGGTCACCACCTGCGCAATCTCAGGTCCCTTCTGGTTACAACTTTCCCTGGCTTTCGAAGGTCTAGGATGCTTTTAAAAGACGCCCCAAGTCAGGCCCCGCACCCTAGGCCGGCCACCAGCTGGAAGACCCCAGGTGACGCGATCTCTGGGGACTATCCTTGGTTATTCCTTCCTTGCGCTGCGTTGTTAATGCATCCAAGGTGCAAGGCTTTTTACCTCTCGTCTTTGCCACAGAGCCCTCAAGACTGTCCTTGATGAGTTAAATGTGGGGAAAAACAAAAAACACAAACACGCCCGCCAAGACACTCCTCCTGAGCCCTAACAGCGAGCCTCCCTGACTCACTTTCCCAGGGGAAAGGGAAGCTTAAAGCTTAGGCCATCCCGCCCGCAGAGCCAGTGTGGGCCCCGGCCGCCTGCAGAGGGAGCTGCTCGCCCTGTTTCCAGCAGCTCCTCCCCTAAGTGCGCAGACCTGAGCCTCACACCCAGCGTGGAGAAACCTCCAGGGGCAGCCGGAAGCTACCAGACACTTCGAAGTGTGGTAAGCGGCCGATGAGTGACCTAACGTCCTGCTTTTCAAACACCTGAGAACTCGGTTTTAGGTGAGTTCATTTTCCAGCTGATGTCATTACACAAGAGTTTAGGACAGTGGTTTGCAAGCTTGGCTGCAGGTTGGAATCACCTGGTTATTGAAAAAACAACAACAACAACACAAAAAGCTACCTCCTGGGTTTCAGTCCCAAAGATTGGGCTGGGATCTAAGTTTTAAAACCTAATCTAAATTTTAAAACCCCTCTGGGTGATTATGTTGATAGAAAGTTGAGAATCGCTAATTTAGGAAGACCCACAGAGGATAACGACTCACATACTGCAAATATCAGGTTCATCACAATTATTGGGAAGGGTCTGCGGCCAGAGGCAACACAGCCCCCCCCACCCAGCCTCTCTTAGGTGGAAAGCCAATAAAATTTCAAAACAAAATCACCAGAGATGCTACCTCCTGAGTGACAGCCTTTTAAACTATGAAAAACCCACTGCTGGAATAGGATTTGTGAAGTACATTGGTAAATTTAAAAAATGTTTCTAGTAGTAGTAATAAAAAATATAAAAAGTTTTACACTTGGGAGTAATGAAAGGAAGCCGACTTCTCTCCTACCTGTCCCTTAGTGACATCTGTTTCTTCCTCCTCCAATCTTGACTGCTTTTACTAATTTAGAGATCACTCTAAGTGCAGCATTTCTTTCTTTTTTTCTTTTCTTTTCTTTTTTTTTTTTTTTGGTACCGAGGATGGAACTTGGGACCTTGCACTTGTGAGGTGGGTGGCAGAACCACTGAGCTAAATCCCTGGCCCAATACAGCATTTCTTTACAAACTCCTTCAACATCCCTACAGTCTCCAAACCACTTACTATGTCTTAAAGGGGAAGATGAGCAATACAGTAAGTAAAAGAATTTATATATATGTGTGTGTGTGTGTATATATATACACACATACACACGTATATGTCCCCATTATTTCGGGTCAGTTTTCCAGTGGATAAAAAGAAGTGAGATTCAAGAACCTCCCTCCTCTGCTGGCCCCGCCCCACAGCTGACTTTAGCCTCTTTTTCATCTCTGCCCCACCCCTGAGGCCCCCTTAGACAAGAGTTCTCAATAAAGACATGATAGCACTACATAGTTACAACAATTATCATCTCTTTTTCCCTTAAGGATTCTAGTAGCATTTTTCTCCTTGCCTTCAGTCTTAGTGGGCTATTTTCAAATTCTCTGCATTCTTTTCCTTATAAGGAATATCTCCCCTTGATCTATCAGCAGCTCTTGTGAAAAAGCTAAATAAACGTCCCGCTGGAGAATTTGGGGGAGACAGACATCCTCACAGAGCAGACATCTTATCTGCATTATTCAAAGCAGGCTCAGCATTATATATGGGGGTGGGGGGGAGGTTGCTCTTTTTTCTAAAGCCAGGTAGCTTATAATGTAAATGGTTCAGCTAAATCCGTGCTCATCTAAACCCCCTTTTCCAGGAGCCTTGCTTTTTACTGAGACTCTCTTTTTGCCAGATCTAAGCTATCAATATCTGAATCTTTCATTTGCAAAGCACACGTGGAAACCCATTTCAAGCTTTTCATACTACAAAAAGCCTACACTGATTTCAAGACCGGAGAGCCTTCAGGATTTTGCATTTTACACACACACAAGTTTTTTCTGCTGTAGCCCTAGGGGTTCAACTTCTGGGCACAGCTTCCCCCAGTGTTCGTACATTCTTGGAATTGCTACCAACTTCTCAAGGCATTCTTTTCTAATTGGGCCTCTAGGCTTAATTAGCTTCTAGAATGGAATTCAATGCTGTGAAAAGAAGTCGGTCCTTTAGAAATCTAACCCTTGGCCTGACTTTCTGAGGCCGAAGAGGTGGGCTCTACAATTTGGATTCCAAGGGGGCAGTGCACAAAGCGCTCCTAGAGCTTTAGACCTGTCTGCATCACCCCTAAAAGTATGTGTGATTGTCAGAGGGTTGACACGTGGGGGTGGGGCAAACAGGAGGGGCAGGGGGCCGCACACTCACTATACCATATAAAGCTCTGAGCTATATATAACTCCCAGTTTACTTTCTGGAGCTAGTGCCCTCAGACTGGAGACCCAAGCGAGTATCATCTTCCCAGGGAGATCTTAAGGGCTGGATTAAAGCTTCCCTAGTGAGAAAGGAGGCCTCACAACGTCCCTGTGCCACACTCTCAAGCTGAGCTTTTAAAGAAGTATCGCTATGACTAGGTCTACCACCGAAAACCAGATCTTCCCACCCACGGGGATGCAAAAAGAGAGCAAGTTAAGAAAACTATGTATTCTATGTTTGCACAAACCTTGGTGATGATGACACACACCTCTGAGCTTTTCTGCCACCAGGAGGCAAGGTTCACCTCCCCAGTTGAATTTCTGCTGCTCTCTTCTCCCAGCTTCTCTCTCACCCACCCACCTCCACCCCACCGGGTAAAGAGGAGGAGAAAAGCAGAAAGAGGAACGGATGAACTATAGACGAATGTGTGCAGCTGCAGCCGCAGCAGAGGTGCATCCAGTGCTCTGGGCCAGGCTCTGCGTGCTGGTGCCCTCCTCCAGTGCTGTCCCCTGTGGCGCCCGAGGGGCCACGCGGGCAGCAGGTGAGCGAGGCCTGGTGAGCATGCACTTACATCAGTGGCCTTTTTCTCCGCCAGCTCCAGTTTCTCCTGGGCATCTTTGAGAGCCTCAGAGTATTTGTCCAGTTCATCTTCGGTACCCTTGAGTTTCTTTTGCAGCGACACCAGCTCATCTTCCAGCTGGGAGTTGGCCGTGGGGTATGGGGCAGAGGGGTGGGGGTGGGGTGCAGCAGGCAGCGTGATCCCGCAGGGCGGGGGTGTGGGGGTGCGCAGACCACAGGACAGGGACAGCAGGAGAGAGAGACAGGGAGAGGCAGGGAAGGAGAGAGAAAGAGAAAGAGTTAGCTGCTCGTGCGCCGCGCCGTGCCGCGCGCCCCGGGTACCTTGGCGGCGGCCTCGTCGGCAGCCAGGAGGCTGTCCTCCGCCTTGTGCAGCTCCTCCAGCACCCGGTCCCGCTCGTCCTCCGACGCCCGCAGCAGCTTCTCCTTGGCTGCGATGTCCTCCTCCAGCTGAGGGTGGCGGGCGGCGGGCGGCGGCACGGACCGGGTGTTAGACACACACACAACACACGGGCGCCAGGTTGGCTGGGATCCCTCAGGCTTGGGATGCCGCCGAGTTGGGGTTCGCGGGACCCCGGGTAACCTCCGGTCCCCCAGAGCGGCCACCGCTTCTCTGCCCACCCGCCACTCCCCCTCCCGGGCGACACAACTTCGGGGCGCACAAAAGCGCCGCTCGTCGACCCGGCCTCCCGTCCCAACTCCAGGGCTCCCCTCTCCTCTCCCAAAGTTTCGGTCCCAGGTCCAGGTTCTTTTTCCGAACCAGCCCAAAGTCCAAAGGCTTTCTAACACCTTCCAGACTTGAGTCCTTGCCCCTTCCCTGCCTTTCTTTCAAAGGTCCCCAGGGACCAGTGTCCCCCTCCCTCCCCTTCCAAAACCGATCCCCGTCTTGAGACTCAAGTACTGCTAGGAGCTGAACGGGCTTCGCGGACCTCGGGAAGCAGAGAAGGGAGATGAAGTCCGCAGACTGGAAAGTCAGAGCGAGCCAGCCTCGCGCCCTCCCTCCCCGTTTCTCCCCGAGTCAGCAGGGTGGGCGGCAGGGGGGCCGTGCTCGGCTCCAGGGGCTCCCGAGCCAGCAGGGCGCGCGCGCAGCCGGGAGGCGCGGACCTGCTTGCTGCGGTCTTCCGCCGCCTTCTTGTCGGCCTCCGCCTGCTCGGCTCGGTCCAAGGCGTTCTCCTTGTCGAGCTTCAGCATCTGCATCTTCTTCTTGATGGCGTCCATGGCGGCGGCGGCGAGGGGCCCGGAGGCTGCGGCGCGAGCGGCGGGAGCGGGCGAGCGCGCAGGGGCGGCCGAGCCGGAGTGCGAGCGCGGAGCCGCCCGCCGCTCCCAGATAAGTACTTTCCCGAGGGGGCGACCGCATTCCTCAAGACAGCCAATACTTTTTTGGAAAAGCTGCTTCCTCCTGCCCCCTTCCCTCGCTCCTGCCTCCGCCCCGGGCCCGCTCCCCTCCTCCCGCGGGGCCGCCCGCCCATTCGCCGCCGCCGCCGGCCTCTCAGTGGACGGTGGAAATGACTATATATGGGGACCCGAGCGCCCAGGCGGCGGCCCGGCGAGGCCGCCCTCTTTCCAGACCTGCCGCCAGGGGCTGGGCGCCGGGGCCTCCCTGGACTCGCGCCGGGCGCAGGGCGCTAACCTATTCCCTCTGAGCCCGTAGGGCCCCCAGGTCCCGGCCCGCAGCCCCCGGAGCTGGGCAGTGGTGGGCGCGCTCACCTCAGGCCCTCTGCCCCGCAGCTGCAGGCCGGCGCGCTCTCCGCCCCAGCTGTGCCTCCCTAGCAGCGCGCAGCCGTCCAGGTGTCACCCAGGGAACAACTGTAGCCGAGAAAAGGCCAGCTGGGACGAGGTCGGGGTCGCTCCGGGTGTGTGTCTACACTTGTGGGGGCGTCAGCACAGTGACGGCACCCAGCTTCCCCCGCGGGGGGGGGGCGGGCAAATACTTCCAGGACACAGGACGCACTTGGTTTATTTCTAAGTATGGGCCGGGTGTGTAGGCGTTGGGCTGAAGTTTAAGGAGGTCTCTATGCTGTCACCAGCAGTTGTGACAGCATCAATGCGGCGGTCTTCTCCTATATTTAAATTACACCCCCACCCCTCCACACACTACCTCGTCATTATTTTCTTTGCACTGACTTTAGGGAGCCAGCCGCTTCCCGTGTTAGCACTCGGGTGCCAGGTGGCCAAAAACACGGGGCAAAGGTTTTCCTAGTTAAGTCGTGGTATCCACAGCTGTAGCTCTGAGGAAGGAACAGGGCCATTTGCGGCACTTCGTGCTGTGTGAAGGCAAGATTTGCCCTCCAACTCTCGAACTCCCTTCTATCCTGGGGGTGAGGGCGGGGAGCCTGCTCTTTCTCTCTCCCAAGCTTTAGTAGGAGAGGGAGAAGAGTGTGGGGCCCAGGCCTGGCCCAAGACCCGCTGAGGCAGGGCTGGTGAGGGTCTTGGTAACAGTCGCCGCAGGGTAATTCGCAGCCTGTACTACAAGGACCCTGAGCATTCCCCGGGCGGTACCTGAGCAGATTAGGCCGAACAAACAACTTGTAAGTTCTTCAGAGAATGATCAAGTTCCCCTCCAGGATTTCATCCAGTTTTTTCCACTAACCCAACTGCCCAGGAGGAAAAAAATACTCTGGCCTAATGGCGGAAGGAACGAACATCAGATCTATACGCCTAGGGGCTGTGTGGCCCTATGCACGTTAATCAGCGTCTGTCAGCCCAGCCACTGCTGCACAGACATTTGTCCAGGCTGTGGGCCAGATACAGATGTGCAGACTCCAGGGAGCTCATCCCCAGCTTGGAGCTTGGTGGAGGGGCAAGAATGGGGTCTCAGGAGATCCTGAGCCCCAAACCTTGCCTGGCCACTTTCTTGGAACATGGCCTTGGCCATGTTACAACCTAAGCCTCAGTTTTCTCTTCGATAAAACTAGGTAGTTGAGTTTATTTTAGAATTCACTTTTAGGGTTCTTTTTAAAAGAGAAGTTATTGAGGGACCGTGTCTTACTGACTTTTCTCCTTTCATTGTGCCTAAATTAGCTGAAAAACTCATTCAAGCTTCCTTAAATGAGCCAGGGCTATAGATAATTCGCTAAATACCATTATTGAGCACCTGCTGTATACCAGGCAGGTACTAGTCCTTGGTGTCCAGAAACAAGTAACACATCCACTTTCCCTGGGTGTTTAGCATGAGCAGGGGTGTAAGAATTCGGAGAAGGAAGAAAAAGAAATGAGCAGGTCAGAGCAGGCATAAAAAGCTTCTCTGACAAGATGGTGGCTTTTAGGCTGATCTTAGAGGAAGGGTAGCAGTAGATGGGAAGGAGGGCTGTTCTATGAGCTAAGTGAAGAAAGCAATGTTTGGTGATGGCTGGACAGCAGGACTAGAGGCTAGAAAAGTAGGCTGAGGTCATATGGCGAAGGGCCTGGAATTCCAGGTTGAGGGGTTCAGACTTTAACGTATGGTTTGAAGACATCAATTTTTCTTTTCATCTTTCCTCTTATTAGTCATATAGCCTCTGTCACATTGGGCTATATTCCAAGGATGAAGCCTGTGGTGTTCAAATGTGGAAATGGAGCTACAGAGAGCTAACTTTTTAAATCCCTTGGTGCCCTATCATTGATCCCTACACTGGAGATTAACATGGCAGGTCCCTGACTTTAGTCATTTCCATTTCACCCCTGTTGAGATTCTGTCTCATGAGTAACCTGACAGCCAGCTAGGCCCAACACAGTTTCATGGGCTCACCACATGTGATCTTTTTGTCATCAAGGGCCAGGCAAGTACCATGACTTAAACAACAAATTCTTCTGTATTGGACAGGCTTTCTAGTCTGAGGACCAGAAGGGTGGGCTGAATAGCCATGTGCTGTAGTGTCTCTCCCTCTTTCCCAGCTGTCTGGCCATGACTGAGGGACAGATCTAAAGACTAACTAGGGATGTTGCTAGCATTGTATGTAGCATGTTAGGCAACAATGAACTGGGCCACTTGGCTTCTCTCTCGGTGCAGTGTAAATTAAAGAACATACAAATTATTAGTCAAGGCTGCTGAAAAAAAAAGTTTTCAGTGTAGGACTGCAGAGGCCTTGTGAGAAGGTGATTAAAGTTATTTACAAATACTTGGACTCACACCCAGTGTCTTGGTAGGATTGTACATCCCTATCCAATTAAGTTAGGTCTGGCCACTTTACCTGCTTGGATCAGGGAGATGTGAACAGCAGTGAATTATAGTGGGCACCTGGAGTTAGCATATGCTTCTCCATATTCACTTGTGACGACTACGGCTTCTCTGTCATTCTGGGTTCCCAAGTTGTGCCTCCTTTCCCCACAACTAACTGTGGTGGACATGTAGCAAGAGAAAGATATAAAATTCTGTTATTTTAGGCCATTGAGATATAGGGGTAATCTGCTACTGATACAGACTAATACACTACAATAGGTCATCTCAGCTATGAGCAAAGGGAGAAGTGTGGGCATGGAGCTAGGAAGATGGAGCAGACCCATCAAGGTAAACAGAAGTACCATCCAGAGAAGGACTGGGGAGTATGACTGAATTCCAATCTCATGGGTCCTTATGATGCATCCTTCATTTCCTAAGGTGAAATGAGCAAGTCTGTGTTGTTGGAGAGTGAAAAAGCTGGCCAAATCATCTGCACAATGTCCCTTGCCCAGCAGTTCTGTGTGAAAACCAAAATCATGCTTGGAATTTCCAGATTTCTCCAGTGCTTGCGGTATTGAGTCATTTCTCAATAAATGTCAATAAATTGTCAATAAATGTCAATAAATGGCTCAATAAATGTCAATAAATTGAGCCATTTCTCAATAAATGAATGACTTTTAAATTGAATATTAGCCATACAAACAAGTAGAGAAGTAGTATCTGGAAAGGGAACAAAACTGGATTCAAAAGACCTTGTCTGCATTCAAAGTAAGGACTCTAAAGATATGGTTTTACTTTCTGAAGAATGAGTAGAAGTGATTAGATAAGTTAGGACAAATGTTTCACAAAAACTCAATCCCTTTTGTGTATAAGGCATTTAGAGTTTATGAGATCATAAGATGGAAGTGGACAGGAGACGTTAGCTTTCCATCACTGTGACAAAATACCTGAGGTAATCAACTTTGGGGGAAGAAAGGCTTGTTTTGGCTCACAGTTTTGGAATTCTAGTCTATGGTGGGTTGGCCTGTTGCTTTTGAGTCTGTGGGAAGACAGTAAATCATGATGGGAACAGGAGGCAGAAAAAGCTCTTCACCTCACGGCGGTCAGAAAGCAAAGAGAGAAATAGGAAGCAGCCAGGGTCCCAACATCCCCTTCAAGGGGATATTGACCTAACTTCGTCTCTAAGTCCCACTTTCTGAAGGTTCCAACATTTCCTCGTGGTGGCACAGACCGGCAACCTAGCCAGTCTTGGTGAACTGTCAAGATCCAAAGTACAGCAGGAGACCTTCCTCGAGGAAAGAGTCTATTTGTGATGCTGGGTAAGGGGGTGCCATTTCACATATATTTCCAGCTATTTTACCAGCATCCCAACTGGCTGCCTGGGGTTCCCTACATTGATGAGGATCTCATAGCTCAGTTTTTCTAGGAGACCTTTATTATTAAAAATACAGTTCCATTCCCTCCATAAAGCACCAGTACTTGCCATACCACATTTCCCAATATTTAGTTATGGAAGAGTCAACATGAGCAGTGCTTTCTAATGTGACACCTTCCACAGGAATGCTTACTTGAATATGTACATCGGGGATTGTTTGTTTAAAAACAACCAAACAAAACCCTTATTACCTGACAGCCACACCTTGCTTAGCAGCAACAGCTCTTACCTGTGCACTGTGACTGCCCTGAAGTCCACTGTGCTGACTCAAGCAATTAAGGGAAAGTGAAGAATCTGTAATTAAATGGAGAGACAATTGCTTCCTCCATTAGGTCTTGGAATGCAGTGAGTTATGCTCTAGGCTCATTGTCCTATGGAACAAGATACAGCATGCTCTTCTCAGGCACTGGGAGTTTTGTTTCCCAAGGGTTGTGTTGCTACCATCAAGAACCCATGAAAAATAGCATCTGCTGGGAGTGGAGTCTGAGAAATGTCTTTAGGCCATTGTGGATAGCAGCCTGCATTGTTAGTGACACACCACTGCTCCTGATTCTGCTGAGAAGCCCAGGAGTGTGTTTGCTACCTGGAGAGTTTCATGGGCAAAATGTTCTCCTAAGTTCTCCCTAGTCCTTTTTGTTTGGTACTGGGGATTGAACTCGGGTCCTTGCACTTGCGTAGCAGGTGGTGAAACCACTGAGCTAAATCCCCAGCCCCTCCCTAGTCCTTTTTAAAAATCTTTTTATTTGGAAACAGGGTCTTGCTAAGTTGCCTAGGCTGGGATAGAACTTGTGATCCTCCTGCCTCAGCCTCCAGAATGCTAGGTTCTAGGCATGTGCCACTGTGCTCGACATGTCTTCTCTCTCTCAACAGAAGCCTCTCTGTGTAGGTTTAAATCAGCCCAATTTGTGATGGAATTTAGCTGTCTGGAGAATAGCAATATTCCCTTACTACATAAAATTTAAAAAACACTTTCTAGTTCATGACCTCCTTACCGCCTCTCATGATACCTTCAGGATGAGTGCTGTGATTGCCATAAAGTAGATTAGAAAACCAAGGGAAGTGACTGGTTCAAGACCACTCAGCTGTAAGGTGGCAAGGCAAGGAAAAAATGCAGATGTCCCAGCTCCCAGCAACGACCATTCATTCATTCCTAAACCTGTTTTTAAGTTCATATTTGATTTCATGTTTAATAGCAACATATTATAAGGTCAGAATAGAAGAAGAAGGGCCACCATAGGTCTTTTCTACGTATAGAACATAGTTGAAACATGACACTAATGAGGCTGAAGTGGAAGGGGCCTCTTACCCTGCATGGGCTAGTTGGTACTACACCCTGGCCTCCTGTACCTGCTTGCCCACTCTCAGCCGATAGGAGAACCTGCTGAGAAAATGAAACTTGCCCCCCACTTTCAAGTCCGTGGCCTGATACGGAACAATACAGACCTCTTTGTGAGGACAGAAAGACCGGTATGTCATTACCGGTACCTACAAGGGAGAATTTGAGGTAATCATTAGAAATCTATACCTGCTTCCCTCAAAATCCTTAGGTTGGCAAAGGAAAGAGCCTCCAGTTAATTCAGGCAGCATGTTTAGGGGCAAATGAAGACCAACTGCTGGTCAGGATGGCATCTAGTGCCTCATCGAGCCCACCTGGCAGAAATGAGAGCACCTCCAGGCCTTGCCCTGCAGACGTGAGCAGACCTCAGGGCCACATCCGAGTGGTGGGGTGGGATGGTTTTAATCATCACTTCCCAGCAAAACCCGCATTCTTTTCATATTGAATGCCACCTGTTCATTTTTATATTTTTATACTTGCTTCTCAAGTTTCCATGGATGTCCTTAACAGGAACACATGTGGAAGTGACCTGTGCAGTCTCCCGAATGACAAGCAGAGCTCTACTCTTAGTCTTCGGACTGTGAAATCACCACAAAGATGCCCATGGAGGTGGAGATGTACTCAGTGTCCAGGTGTAACTCATTCGGGCTCTGTGAGGGCTGCCACATGAGGTAGATTCAAAATCTGATTTCTGACATTTTGTTTCTGTGCCTATGACATGCTCACTGCCATCAGCTTAATTTTTGGTGGAGATGATCTGGTTCAGAGGCCTTCGGATGGAATTAGTTACTGAAAGAAAGCAGTGCACTTGCTTTTGTTTTTGCAAAGATCTTTTCTTTCCTGGCCAGTAAAACCTTTTCTCCAAGCACTGTGTACTGGGACCCTGGGTACTCCTTAAGAGAGCCTCTGTTCTCACTGTAATAGAAGTTGTGCTTCCTCAAAAGAAATGCCTCTTCCACCGGACTCTCCTGAGGATACTTTCCACCCCAGTAACTTCAACAGAGGAGGGAGTCAGGCCTTTCTTACAGCTTGAGGCAGAGGAAACTTCCTTCCAGAACAGGCTGCTGGCGGAGGTCCAGAAGGGGCCAGTATTTTTAGCATGGCCTTCTTCACTTCCCAGCACCTGCCATGATCTGTAACCCAAGGGGCTACTTAAATGCCAGTGAGATGACCGAGGACAAGGCAGCCTGAGCTAATGTCCTAAAATACCACCCACTGGAGGGTTTTCTTGCTGGAGCCATTTCACATCTAGCTCTTCCTAAACTGGGGGGCTGTACAAGCCTGGACGAGATGTGTGATATCTGCCCCGGGAAGAGGCCAGAGAAAAACCCCGGGTCTGTCTACTTGATGCCAGCTAGAGTTGTGATGCTGACCTTGACTCCCAACTTCAGTCTCCCCTTCAGCTGCTCTTGCCATATGGAAGCAACAACGTGTCTAAACATGGTTCCCTAAAGCAAATCCTTTCTTGACATCCCTGGAATTATGTGAAGATGAGAGACAAAGTCTAGGTTGTGTCTTAGATCAGGTAATGGCAAAGGGATGCAAACTTCATTCTCAAACAGGTAGAACTCACTGAGTTCATTATCCACTCAAGATGGTCCAAGCTGGAAATAGAAATGTGTTCTCAAGATGCCCGATATATCTGTGGTGGACAGATGCACCCTGGGTCATGAAGGATAATGAGAATGTCTTAGGATGTCTCTAATCCTGGAGTGTGATATCACCCAAACCCACCACAGTGTTCCTGGGCATCACTGCCCATACAATACTGGGCTGATAAATTCTAGGGCTGACCCAGTGTGCCTCTGGATTTCTCTGGCTGCTTTCAATTGTCCCAAATGCTATGATACAAAATGCTACTAGTGACAGCAATTTATTTTAAAAGGAATTGAGCCAGGATGTAAGTATTCAAGTGGGTTTTGTTCCCTTTAAAATGGTCAGTTTTCATTTAGTTGCATGAAAAATGTAACCAGCAAATGATATACACATATATGGTGATAAAATTTAGTTAAAAATAATAAGTAGGATACATATGTATTTCATATATATGTATGATTATACACCCACACATACTAAAAAGAGATTTGGAAAATTGCACATCAATCTGATAACTGAATTCACTTCCTCCTGGGAAGTGGGAGGGTACTGGTATCAGATATAGTAGGCAAAAGGGAGTGGAGCCATATCATTAAGGTCTAAGTAGAATATATGTATGAATTATGTAATTAAAATATCAACAATATTTTATTTCTCTTTTGTTATTTAAAATATATTCTTGAGTTTATGACAGGAAATTTTAGATGATTTATAATTTCCTGAATCTCTTGAAGGAAGAAAACTCCTCTTTGGCATCTGTACTAGCCAAAGTCTCACAGTAATGAAAAATTAATTTAACAATGAAGTGGTCAATTTCCTCCAGCATATCCCACTGTTTTTGAGTGCCTGGTATTTGTCGGGCGTAAAACTGGGCACCAGACATTGAAATGTGAGCAAGGAACAGCACTCTGGCCTTCTACAAGATCCTTTATTTCTAAGATAAGAACCAAGATACATCATGTAAAGGTACAAGATCCCAACAATGAATGTAGCTGTATTGTATATCTAAAATGTACCAATAAACTTAATGGAAAAAAAAGATCCTTTATTTCTAAGTCACCACTTACGACAAAGTCAAGTTTTAAACAACATAATGGAACTGTTGTTAGTGCTTTTTTATAACCCCCTCCAACAAAAGTAGTTTCTTTGCCATCTTATGTTTGGACCAAAGGCAACATGCCCCCAGCCTGATCATGTTTCAGATTTG